CCATGCACATCCTTCATTTCCCATTTTTCTTTTAACCATTACTACATTAGCAATCCACTTGGGGTACCTCGACTCTCTGATAGAGCCGTTTTCCAGGAGTTTCTTTAATTTTTCATGGACGACCTTGTTGATGGCGGGGTTGAACTTTTGTCGGACCTGCCTTACTGGAGGGTTGTAGGGGGAGATGTTTAGCTTATGTGTAGCTATCTCTTTGGGGATGCCTGGCATATCTTCATGGCTAAAATCAAACAAGTATGTGTTAGTTATTAAGAATTGACTGAACTTACCGGGGTCCTTGAGCTTGTAGCCTATGTAGGCATTTTCGCTGTGGTCACTTGGGGCTATCTGGGTGGGTTATAGGTCCTCTACGGTCGATCCTGCAACTTCGATCATTTCTAAATTTGTAATGGCATCTTTGGCTTTGACCCGATGGGACCTCGACCCTAATGATTGTTATGATTCTTTTATCTTTTCTTTCTTTTGTTGAGTGGTCATACTATCTAGGGCGATCCTTTAGCATTTCCTGGATGTGTGTTATTCCCCTCGTATGTTGAATATCCCCTAGGGGTTGGGAACTTAATTACTTGGTACAGGCTAGAAGGGATTACCCTCATGAGGTGTACCCATAGCCGACCCACGATAGCATTGTACGACGTATCCTGGTCCATGATGTGGAATGTGGTTTCCAGCATCACCACACCGGCGAGGACGGGGAGTGTGATCTTGCTCGAAGTTCGTTCAACTGCATTATTAAAATTGGTTAGTGTGATACAGCACGACACTATCTTTTCCTCGAGTCGCATATGTACGAGGACTCGAGCATGGATAACGCATGCTCCACTTCCATCGTAAAATATAATCCTCCTAACATCAATATCAAAAATGCGTAAAGTAATAACAAGTGCATCATTGTAAGGGAAGGTCAAACTGTCAACATCTTACTCATCGAAGATGACACTTTCTTCGAGGTTGTCATACTGATCGTGGGTGATTGATCTCTTGATTTTGTGAGTGGCGGTGAACCCAATGCCATTGATGGAGGTGTCATCACTGCCTCTGATAATCATGTTGAATGGCGACTTTGGCGGGCCTGGGCGTTCTCGCCCCTTTGCTAAGGTGCTTTTGCCTTTGTCACTGAGTAACTCCTTGAGGTGTCATTGTTGTAGAAGAGTCACAACTTCTAACCTCAGGGTGTGGAAATCCTCAGTCTTATGCCTTCGGTTTTGGTGAAATTCACAAAAGGAGTCTGACTTCCTCGTGTTCGGGTCGGACCTCATCTTCGATGGCCACTTTACCTTTGATCTGAGTTTCTCAAGTGCATAGACCATATATGTAGGTAACACACAGAAGTTATGAGCAGATAGTAAAGGAACCATACCTCAGTCACTTCTGGAGATCTCTGATCTTGGCCTAGAGGGGCACGTCTTGGTGGTGGAAGTTAGGAACGGGTGGTCTGATGCAGGGTTGATGTCGATCGCTTACTGGTCGCATCATTGGAGGGCCTCTCCTCTTATTATCCCTATGTTCCCTCTTGGGTTCGAACTACACTAAGGTGAGTCATCGGGTTGGCCCATTGAGGTTTTCATCGTTGGCTATAACCTCGGCACAATAGGTGTTATGAATCTCGTCCAAGGTGGCCGGTGGGAATTTCATCAGTCGGTTGAGTAGCTTTCTGGTCGCCCTCGACCCTTCTCTGTTTAACCCGTTCTGGAAAGCTACTACATCCATTCCTTCAAAGATATTTGGTAAGGTCATCCTTACCCTATTGAACCGGGCTAGGAAGTCCCTCAGCCCTTCCCCTATGGATTGTCTGATGGCGAAGATGTCATTTACCCCAGTTTCAGCCTTCTTAGCTCCGGCATGTGCTGTTACGAACTTGTCCGCTATCTCCTCAAATATTTCTATGGAGTAGGCCGGCAGCTATGAATACCACATCAATTCTCCCTCTGTGAGGGTTTCACCGAATAGTTTTAACAGGATGGAGGACACATGTTCTTTGGTAAGGTCGTTTTCCTTTACTGCGAGGACGTAATGGGTCACATGGTACTCGGTATTAGTCATCCCATCATAGATTCTGAGGTACGGGTTCGGTATGGCATGAGGGGTTGCTTCTTACCTATACGGCTGCTCTACAAACCTATCGCCATCTCTTTTTGGTATTAATTTGGGGGCACTTGGTATCTTGTCTACCCGTTCTTGATGCTTTTTCATCTGTTCCTTGAGTGTCATGTTCTTGTTCTCCATCTCCTCCATTTTTTTAATACAGTGGTGAGGACGCCATCACTTGCACTATCAGAAGTCCTATGGGTATTACCTGAAGTTGGAGGGTTTAGTTGGTCGTCCTGCCCACTCCTATGTTGGGCTGCAAGGGCCTTTGGGATTTCCAAGATCATGCACGGGACATGCTTACTCATTACGCTAACCAATGTGTCAGTTAGCCAGGCCTCTAGGAGTTTTTTTATGGTGGGTGGTGCTCCTTCCTCCGGGGACGTGGAAGCTTATTTTGCGTTGGGTTTGGTCGTGCTACAGAAAGGTGCCGATGACTTTCTTAGCCTGGGGGATGGCGTAGGGGCCATTTCCTCGTCCTGAGTTTTGTACCTTTCATCAATGGAACTCATTAGATTGAGCAGGGTGTTGTCTGCCGCTCCAGCTCCCTTTCCTCGGTCGATTCTTCCATGGTTACCTGCCATGGAGTTTTTGTATGCAAAGAAAAAGGGATAGTCTTATAGTGTACTAGGTTAGCAAGTTATGAACGTTGTAGATCTGAATGAAAACTAATAGTTTGACTATGAAATCCTCACACATGGGGCCAAAGTGTGTGACCCAAAAAATGAATTTTGATTTTATACAATTAGATTTATTGAAAAATATGATTAATCATAGTCAATATTAATATCCAAAGATAGATATAATATTTTTACGGTGAGTATTCAACATATAACATTAAAGAAGACAACCTAGGATAATAATTGAGCAATAATGACTTGAAAATATAAATGAGGGGGGAAATGACAATCAAATAGCAAATGAGACAAGGATAACCCGACAAAGATGAGTTCCTTGAGTGTCTTTCTGATAATGATGAATGGTGATAAACAATCGTATATTCCGAGAGAAAAGGGATAAAAGAAGAAAAGTGTCAAGTCAAGCTTTATTTCTATTCAATCTTGTACAGAGAATGTTGGTGAAATTCTTTACAAAAGGTCCAATCCCCTTTCTGATCTACATATCTTCACATTTATAAGGGCGTATGGGCCACAAAACCCTATATAGTACCATCAGAAGAGAATATCCATAGAATATTCTCTAGGAAATTTAGTTCTAATGATGGACGTCACTTCGTGCTGAGAATGGATGCTTGTCATCGTCCTCGTCTTCTGCCAAGCCAGTTCGACCTCGGCAGCGCTTTATCCTTCACCCTTGATCTCGACCTTTTGGAGTCATCTCGACGCGCCACCACAGTCGTAGGTTTTATTACAGTTGACCGAGTTAAATATGTCACATGAAGTTTTTACCTACACAATAGGAATGACAATAGTATTGGATACTTGTTTTTTAGCTTTGCAATGGTTTAAATAATAGTCAAGTAATTAGGACTTTCTAGTTATACTTATTTAGCATGATTTAATACTTTTAGTTTATGATAATTTTTATTATGGTTTATTAATTAGCATATTTATTTATTTGTAATTTTATAATCTTTATTGTTGAATATTTTAGTATAATGGCATAACTTATCTTACATTTTATGTTATTTTTTTGGAAAATATTTTATATAGTTGCATCTTACTAGGATTAAAGAAATATTTGGAGCACAAGTTATACGTTTTGTGCGATGAAGACTTTACCAGAAAAAACTCGTAAAACCCGAGAACACCAAAAAAAAAATCGAGAAAACCGAAATCTAAAAACCCGAGTTTTGTTGGTCTTGTGTGGTTTGTAAATTTTAAAACCCTACATAGTTAATTTGATTGGTGATTTAATAACTCGAATCAGGCCGACCTATGTACACCCCTATTTTATATATGACGGTGTCTCTATCACTAACCGAGAAGCCATGTTTATGTACAATATTTCAAAATTGAAGTGTATGGTAATTTGGTTTAGTACACAATCCATGAGACTAGCCAAGCATTATTGATTAGGCGCTAGGAAAACTTACGTACTCTTTATTATTAAAAAATTTCTTATAGATTGAGCTATGTTAATTTCTTGACTCTTTTCATATTTGTCTGTAACTCACTAAAGGCGGAGGGAAAAAAAAAGAATGTACAAACTACAAACGAGATATCCAGCAACAAAAAGCAGGAAAAGAGTTGAATAGAGGAATTTCCAAGCATTTGATATCTAGCCAGCTAAATTAGGATTTATAAGATTATCTAAATCAACGAGATGAAGTTATACTACATAATTTAAAAGTAACCAACCAAGTAATCCGCATAGCATTTCAATGAAAATAAGTAAAGTATATTCTAACAAAAATATCTTCTGTTCGTTCATCACTTGTTTACTTACCTTAAAATTTTGGATTTAGATACTATCAAACTCGATGAAGTTAAAAATATAATAAATCGGTGTGCGAAGCATCCCGCATCCAAAGGGGTTTGATGTACTAACATATCCCGATGCAAGTATCAGTGGCTAATTGCATGGCTCGAACTCATGACTTATAGATCACACGAAAATAACTTTACCGTTGATCTAAGGCTATATAAATCAAAATTCCTATATTCATTATTTGGTTGATAGCTTCCTTACCAGATGAGATCATCATTATATTGTCAAGACAAAAAGAAAGAATTTGGAGTTAGGTGTTAAACTACCCTTCCAACAAGTTCATCTATTCTCAACCACTCAAACCTAAATAACATTAGTCCATAACATAACTCAACTCATAAGCTATTTCAAGTAAATAAGCCTTTATGATCTTATGTAGTTATTTATTAGGTAATCTAACTAAAGTTCACCTGTAATATATAGTGTATATATGTGTGTGTGAATATGTTCCCCTTTCTCATCATTCTTCTCATATTATTCCAAATATGGCAAAGCCACTTCTAATTTTTGTAATTTTGATTCTAAGTCTTATATTTTCATGTTCAGCTACTAACTACATTGTGGGTGATAGTTCTGGCTGGGATATTAGTACTGATCTTGATACATGGTTAGTAGGAAAGAAATTCAATGTTGGTGATGTTCTTGGTAAGTATTATTATATACTATTTCAACATGGGTTTAAATTAGTATACACTTACTGTATACTATTTGTGCAATTTAACCAATCATAACATGTTATTAGTATGTTCTTATCGGTTTAATATCTGGTATGGGGGGTCATCGGCCCACACAATATTAACTCATTTTTTTAGGGGA